AGTTACAGTTTCGTAGAAAACAATAGCTACGAAATTTTTGCTTTCATGGTCAAGACAAGGAAAAGAATACATGCTTGTGTGAGAATGTAGGTGCCTTGATTTAGTTTTATTTATTTTGTGGGGAAGAGGGTTATTATTTTACTTTAAAAACAGTCTTTTTGCATTAAAACATCATCAAAAATTCAGAAATTTGTTCCTATGACTCTGCTCTAGATATTTAATAAATATCAGATGTGCTGATTGATATCACTCACATAATTAAGATTAAATATGTGCCTGGGCATCAGTTTTTCAGGCCACCAAAAGATTTTAAAACTCATAGAAAATATTTTTATTGCTGGCGCCGTGGCTCACTTGGCTAATCCTCCACCTGCAGCGCCAGCACCCCATGTTCTAGTCCCGGTTGGGGCGCCGGATTCTGTCCCGGTTGCTCCTCGTCCAGTCCAGCTCTCTGCTGTGGCCCGGGAAGGCAGTGGAGGATGGCCCAAGTGCTTGGGCCCTGCACCCACATGGGAGACCAGGAAGAGGCACCTGGCTAATGGCTTCGGATCGGCGCAGTACACCAGCCGCAGCACGCCGGCCATAGCGGCCATTTGTGGGGGTGAACCAATGGAAAAAGGAAGACCTTTCTCTCTGTCTCTCTCTCACTGTCTAACTCTGCCTGTCAAAAAATATTTTTATTAAATTCAATAACTGCTTAATTAGGCATTTACTTGTTTCTCAGTCATCACTTTTAAAAGACCAAAGAGGACACCAACACAATGAAGAACTATTTTGTCCCTTACAGTATAGAATGTGAGATAAAAATTTCACCTTAATCACTTTGTAAGCACAAAAATACAGACAAAAAAGTGACATGGGAGACATATTAAGTGTTATGGGAATTCTGAGAGCAGATGAAAGAAAACAAGAGGATAAACAATACTGAAATAAGAGAATTAACCACACTCTGACATCAGTGAAATACATTAACTAATAAACAAATAATAGATGAGGCAGAAAATGCAATTCAGAAAGTTTTTGTCTTTTGGCAAATCACAGATAAGAAGCTGATCAGGCTCACATATAAATAAAGGTCTATAAGTGGGGATTTTGTCCAATACCCAATTTAGGGATTGATAGTCACTCTTGACTATCAAGTATAAAGATGTTGCTTGAAGATTCTGAGATTCTCAGATCTAGGGAGGTGACTGGGTAAATGTAAGAGTTACTGCCCTCAGCTAGCTGATACCTTCAGAGGTCTGGAAAATACACATTCTACATGGAGTGCCTCAAATTTCTCAATCGTATGAGTTCTGATTCTCCCCCCCAAATTTAAATATGGCTTCTCTTTCTTCATATGAATCACACTCAACAACATGTCAAAAAAAGTTCTAATATTTAACCACTAGCAGCCCAGCAGACTGGTGTGACCTCTCAGTGAACATGACATATAATCTGAAGTCAGGAGAACCGGTGTTGAATTCTGGTTCCATGACTCACTAGTTCTGTGACTTTGAGTAAATCACTCACCTGTAACTCCACTCCCATCCCCACCAGTCTCCATTGCCTCATCATAAAATAAAATATGAGTAATATCTATATAACTGCTAATGCCTCAGATGAGATAATATACAAGGAAGCTATTTGTAAACAGCAGCGTGTTACCCAAATATTAGTGCATGTCTCAAAAATTCCGCTGTGTAGGTTCTGTTTGGAGAGTGAAAGATGAGAGGTTCTCCCAAACAGTCACCCTATACCCAAGCTGAACGAGGGAGGACAGATAGAAGGAAATACTATGAATACTATGAAATACTATGAAAGCCACCTTCAGTCAGGGTTTCAGATGGCTACAGAATGCTTATGCAACAAAATGTACCCCGTTCATACTACTGATCTAATTAATGCTTGCTGGACGATGAGTCAATGAATGGATAAGTTACCAAATGCATGAACAGTTGAAGGTATAGCCAGGTGAAATGCCTGAAAACAAAGACGGAGAATCAAGTTGTGTAGAAAGAAAAACATTTTGGAAATAGGAAACCATGTAGCCCAGAAAGCTAACAGTCGTGAGCTCCACTCCTGTACGCTGCAGTGGCAAAACAAAGCAGCACAGAGAAGCCTGTGGTTTCACATCAGTTTGTAAATACTCAAACATAAATACTGACATCCTTTTCTGTTACCTTAAAACACAAAGAACCCAAACAGAAGAACTGCATATATTTAAAAAGCTTTAATATGACCCTGTATAAAAAGAAGCATTTTTAGGGGCACAAAACATGGAAGCTCACAAGGACTATTCTGAGTTATCTGTGATAGCAGGTGAAGTTATGATAAATGCATAAACACCTGCAGATCTAATTCACACTCTTCTGGTATCTTTATAAGACTAGCTAAAAATGTGTCCAGATAGATTTAATTAAACGTTTTCCTCTCTATTTTCCTAATTAGTATAACTAACAACAAGAAAACAAAACATAGAGAAGGCAAATCAGAAGAGGAAAGAGAGGTGGATGGATGAACAATTAGTCTGGAAAAATCACAAAATACAGTCATTTCTACAAAAAAAAAACCCAGAATTATGTATTTCAGATTTCTCAAAGTAAGATTTTAACCATTTCTGAATCCAAAACTTACAAACTGTAATAACTATGTAATTCTCAGCAAATTAATTATTGCTCTGTAGCCGAGTATTCTCAAATGAATACGTGATTCTTAATTCTTAGCTTAAAAAGATTGTTCTGTGCACCTACGCACAGAACCTGGCTTCATGAAATGTGTCCAATCAATGTTAATATCTTTCACCTTCCTTCCTAAGAAATATCACTACATAATTCTAAAAAGTTACATCCAACGTAATAAGAGAACATAAACAAATCTGAGTATGCGGTTTAAGGTCCAGATTCCAGCTAACAACCCCTTAAATAAATAATGTCAACACCAGTCCAAAGTACTGATGACTTTAAGGAAAACAGTAAGATGTCTTTCACAAAATATACCAGATAAGGAAGATCATTCTAATGGTTATGGAGTTCCCTTTCTTGCAAATAGTTTTCTTTTTACCACCAATTTACAGTAGGGAAAACTGGGCAAATTTAAAAATTTTATTATTTCAGAAAAAGTCCTCATTCAGGCTAACGCATGTGGCTGAGTTCACTGATAAATAAAGCCACTGAAAAGCAACTGATTATGTATTCTATACACATCATGTAAAAAGCTTACAATTCCCAATGAAATGACTTTCAAACGACAATGAAAAGTTATTAGTTTGAGAAAATGTAACCATCTCTATGAGTTAGGTCCATGTTGACAGTCAGAAGAGTCAGCCGTGTGATTAATAAAATATAATTCTTCTTATGTTGCAGAGTGGCTGTTAGCATGGACTAACCACTAGCACTGCAATCACTATTAGTTATGGAGCTCCTACTACCTGCCAGGTGAGTAATATTCACTGACTCTTATGAACTAAGTATCATCCTTATTTAACACAAAAGTATAATCATTCTGAAGCACAGTGACCCCAGTGAGCTGACTATACCTCTGGAACCCAGAATTCACAGCAGGCTAAGCAAGCAAGCCCTCTGTACTGAAGGCCCCAGCAATTGTCTAGTCTCCAGAGGCATTTAAAAGGCAGTCTCTTAAAAGCAATTTAAATTTGGTACCACCAGTTGAAATTTAACCTGAACACTGGGCAGGGGAAAGGGGCGTACTTTGGGAATAACTGTAGAAGTCAAGTCTGTGAGTAGATGGAAAATTAAATGCAGCAGACAAAGGCATTTAAGTTAGTGAGTCAGAGCATTAATTTTCATTTGCTAACCTCTATTACAGCTATTGAAGAAATTAAAGCTTTTTGCTTTTGAAACTCTAAACATCTCTCTTCCTGATGAGTTTTTGTCTAACTGCCTTATATCCCTTTAATTATACCAAAAGTTTTCCAAACAGCACTAAGTGCCTGTAACAATAAAATTACTGGTCACAAATGAATATTGAATAATGAACATCATAGGCAGAATAGGAAGACACTCTGGAGTTTCCACATCTGATATTTCTACATTCACTGGATGCTCTATAGCTTATAAATCAGATTCCAGGGCAGTTGCCTTCAGGGAGATTGTTTTAGACAAAGCTAAGGGCCACAGCTGGCACTGCACAATGTATAACAGCATCACTGAAAACCAGCACATACAGTGTTCACAGGTAACACAGACACTAGTAGTTGGTTTGGTTTGCAAGTCAGCTCCCCAAATGATTAGACACTTTTCTCTTATTATTATTGTTCATTGGGTTTTAAATACTTCCAGTTTATTTGGAGCAAAATTAACCAAAAAGCTGTACAATTTTAGAATCATGAATAAAATTTAGAATTTTAGAAACTCAAACCTTGAAACCTAAATTAGGAACACTCAATTTTTTCTCCAAATTTTCTGTTACTGTGTAAAGGGTTAATTAAAGCATGAGTTTGCCTGGATTAAAAAAAAAATGCCAAGCCCTAAAATCAGTATCATTTAAACTTCTGATGCCAAAAATCTGTTTGACAGAGCAGGCTTTACTATACTGACATTTTAACAGTAGCCAAAGTCCTGTTCCCACTAAATTCTGTCTTGGCAGTACCAATAATTTGCTAAAAGCCTAAACTCTTCCTGGTTACAAGTTGCCTACCTCGGGAGCTTTATACAGCATCACAGTGCAACAAGGAAGTTGAATTTAGCAAGTCTTTACTTAACATTTCTAGGCTTACAATAGAAATCAAACTTTTTGTCAAATGAAACTGCTTTAAAATAAAGAATGATGTTAATTTTCTCAGAAAGTTCATACTTAAGATTTGAATTTGATAAGATACAGTATAATTACCCATAAAAATCTCACTCAAAGTAAAATCTGATATTCTCACATTGCTTCAAGATTACAAGTAAATCATCATTAAAACAGTAAATCAAATAACTGCTTTCAAACTATAAATGACAATATTTTCTATTCTCAACTGAAATTAAGATACTTACAAAAATACAGTAAAGACTTACAAATACGTTCATTAGCAGGCATCTATCACAGGTTTTGATGACCTCAAATCATTACTGTCAAAATTTAATACAGAGCTTACTTAATATTGTACTTGACAAAGCTTTCCAATAACGTTTAAATCAAACCACATATAAATTACTTGGCTCAACTTACCTAGTGGCTGAATGTTAAAGAATCGATTAACAAACAAAAAAGTATTCCAACCAAATCAATTCAGTTAATTTTTCAAGTAGATCTGATTATCATCATCTTTTAAAAACTTCAAAGATTCCACCTAATGAGGATAAAAAACAAAAAAAAATGGCATTTAAACTAGAGCAGCATCATATGGTCTATATGTTAATGCAAAAATCAAAACAAGCTTATTATTATCCCTTTTTCTAAGTTACTGTGCTACTTAAAACTATGACACCAAAAGCACCTAGCAACTCAACTAAATTTTTCAGTTTGGGGTAAAATGAATGTTTAAGGACAGAAAACACAGTAAAATGATGCAAAATAAAGTGTGAGAGCAGAAGAGTTTATTTTCAGTACCAACTGGCACTTGTAAATGATGGCTATCTAATATTGGTTAGGATATTAAAATTAGAAATGAGGGAGGATGCAAAATGATTGCTTTGGAATTATAATCATTGATTCTTAGACTATACACATGCAATAATTTGTAAGTTGCAGTTCTGGAAAGCTATTAAGAAATAGCTGCAAGCAATCTCTGTTGAGGCATAGAAACTAATACCCGGACAGATCATTTGAACATCAATAATGGTCAAGAAGTCGTGGAGAAAATTCACTACTGTGAATTTCTGAATCATTCTGAAAATGATACCTCATCTCCCATAGAAAGTGTTTAGTAAATGTTAATAAAGACTTATAAACAGCTTAATTATGGTTTATCAACAATATCTATTTATTCTACTCATTTTACCACCAGAAATCCTTTTTAAAGTTCAAACACTAAGTTACTATCTCAGCTCCCAGAGAAGGTTTGAGAGAAAGCAAGCAATATCTCAACTGGAGAGAGCCTAAAATAAATGCTGGGAGGTTAAGCAGAAGTGAGACAGAAAATTGGACAGCTTCCAGCTACTCCAGAATCAGGTCTCCCCAGGACAGATTTAGTATGTTAAAGCACACTAACACTAAAAATTCCCAGAACATCAAACACAGCTAAATTCAAGTGAAATTTCAAAGCCATATTCTAAAGCCATAAATATATGATTTTTATTTTGCAATGCATAATTAACCACATACTGCCAGCCCTCAATTCCATTATATACATTAATAAAATTTATTCAGTATCTCAGTATGAAAAACATAAAGGTTGAAATAGATATGCTATCCATCAGTATTAGATGGTAATTGCTCAAAAAAGAAGAAACATTGCTAACAGTGGGAAAGACAAGTAGTGATAATTATAAATACTGAGAAGAAATCATGTCCAGATTCTAGTCTTATTACTATTCAAGAAACAGTCATTCAGGAAGTCAAAAGACTTCTTCATTAACAAAGATAAATAGAGTTATTATCAAAGAGTTCTTGCTGTAAGTATCACAAGATATGTATCAAATGGGTCGGTTATTTTAAGTTATACATATATGACAAACACAATTCTCTAAACAACCATTCACAAAGCAGCACAAGGCACACATTTTTTGCATTTGAATAGCTAAGCTGGGAAGGTATTTCTTTACTTTTCCTGGCATTTTATGGAAAAGTTATACAGGCTATCTCAAATAATGCTGGGTAGCTGGCTTCATAAATCACTACTACATACTTGCCAGGATAGTTTTCTGCAGAAGGTAGAACACTGTTTAACAAGACATTTTCCAGGGAAGAACTAGTACACTTCCCTTATGATCCAGATCAAACAAAGACTCCTAAAACTCTTCTCCCATTGATTTTTTTCATTGTACAATGTGAAACTGATCTGTACAAAAGTCTAGATCAACCAAGTTCTTGGGCATTTCTTAGATAGAGTACTGTTTTCTTATATTATGTAGTTCTTGACCTCCAGTCTTAAACGTCTTGAGCCCAGACAGTCATTAAGCTAATGTGTTAAAAGATTCTTCACCAGTCTTACATTAAGAATGATAATGTTTCTATCTAACTATGGTTATCTGAGTGGTCCATGATTTCAAATGACTTAGGAATTTTTCTAGTCTCTACAGCATGCCTAAAAGCAGTGGCATGAGCCTCTCATATCAAAGTTCAAAAGCAGTGTACAAAATACACTACCATATGCATGGATGATTCAGTTCCACTACTGTCACTGATTAGCACAGAAGATACAAGTCGACTGCTGGGTAGCAGATAACAGGTAAGCCTCAAAGTGTACAAACCACCATACAACCTTTCTCCAGGAATTCTCATTTCCTTCAAACGAACAATGACACCTGACGTAAGGTCAAAGATTCTTTACAGTTTCTATAACACACACCAACACAACACCTCAAGTAACTGTACAGCATGATCAAAGAAGTCGAGTTTAAATTTCTTAACCTTTCCTTTGTGTTTACTACCTGCTCTACCAACCTTGGAGAAAAAAACCCCAAGACCCTCTATCCATGGTATTTTGACTTTATCAGAAAGTCTAAATATACCTGAAGTTTGTATTTCTCTCAGTTACATGGTCTAAACAATGGAGTGATTTATCATTAGCTAATATTTGATCATGCTTGTCCCCAGTTGGTCTGTTTCAGTTATTTGTGTGTAATAAATCAGATGAAACCACAATGCTGGGCTTGAATGGCTTTCTGTAGCCAAATGGTTTATCCCAGGTGGTACACAGGAACCAGGCTCCCCCCGTTTGCCAGGAAAGTAGTTCAGTTGACAGTGCTGTTGCAACACTGAACACAGTAAGTTAGCTCTCTTGGAAGTCCTTCCAATAGTAAACTGTACCCTGGAGTAACCTTATGAGTCATAATGTCTTTGTGGAACTGGACTAATCCTTCCTGGTCATCAACTACTCTTTAGTTGATGATGAAACTGGGGCTCAGGGGGTTACAGTCGCTGGCCCAAAGGCATGAAACTAGAATCCTGTTTCTTAACTGTTATTCCAGCATTGCTCCCTGTACATCATGGAGCTGCTCTGCCTCTCAAAGATAGAAATTCAACCATATTAACCAGAAGTTGATTCAGTTCCAGTTATTTTAACTTTGCTTCTCAGTTTGGGGTAGGAGAGAAAGGAAGACAGTAAAGGATAGAATGAGAGAATAGACAGGCTCAGCACTATTTTCTCCATCATGGTTACAATCAACTTGCCTCCTTACAAACCTACTAAAAACCAGGAAAAGAAAATGAAAAACCAAGTACTTGAGGCAGTCACACACCACAGCTATCTTGACATAATGTTCTCAGGGTTTCACAGCAACATTTGAGAAGCAGTGCTCCAATGGCTACTTAGTAGTAACTAGGCCCAATAGTTAGTTATGTTATTGATGACATTTTAATTAGAAGAACATCTCTACTTCCATTACCCAAGCAGAACTACTTTCATAGATGTAACATACATATCTTAACAATGATCTAGTGATTTTCATTTTAACATTACATTTGGCCTTCAATGGGGGCTTGCTTCCAGGACTCTTGTCTCACCAGGATACCAAAATCTAAGGATGTTCAAGTCTCTCATATAAAATAATGTAGTATTTGTTTATAATTTATGCCAATCCTCTTGTACAGTTTAAGTCATCTTTAGATTATATATAGTACCTAATACAATGTAAATGCTACGAAAATAGTTACAATTTAGGTTTAAGAAATAATTACAAGAAAAGAAGTCTGTACACATTCAGTATGGATGTGAATTTTTTTCTGAATATTGTCAGTCTTCTCTTGATTTAATCCATGGGAGTGGGATGGCATTTATGGAAGGGCGATTGTATTTTTTACATCTGTCCCTATGTAAGCATATTTTCACATAGATGTGCTCATAATGCACACAATAATGTCACATTCTGGTTTTTTTTTTTTCATTTAACATTTTGTAAACGCATTCTCTATCTCCATGCATGTTACATGGTTCTCATTCTTACCAGTCATGGCATCTTCCACAGGATCAACACAAAGGCATTCCCTTAATGTTCCGTGGGGAACATTTCAAATGTTCTTATTTATTGGCAACACTAGAAACACTGTTTTCTCCTTAAAATCATATGTAAAATAGGATCAGTAAATCAAAAAGTAGAAATATTTTATGGACTTCATATGTCTAGCCATACTGATGTCAAGAGACTGAAATTACTTATAAAGCTATCAGTGGCAGACAAGCATTCAGCTCTCACCAAACAGGTGGCTGAAATACTTTTGGCAGTTTTATTTGGTGCTATATACTTCAGGGTGGCTCTTTTAGTTTAATGGTGAATATAACTATTCTCCCATTGAAAAATAATTTTATTGTCTTTCATCTTTAAAATATTTTTCATATAATTTGACTACATTTCGGCTCTAATTGTTCTTAGGAATTTAAATGGCCCTTTATATGATACACATTAACTTTTTTATGAATTTTTTCTGTATATTTTATTTTACAATATTTAACCATGAGATCCATCTGGCATGTCACTGGATTCACATCATGAAGTAGGTATTCAGATATTTTTGACAAATCCCAAGTATCTATAATCTTCATCCTAGTTGCTAAGTTATCCTTTCTTACACATCTTTAAGTTTGCTATATTATAATGTGTGCCTTAATTGTATTAGAATGGGTCCATTGTTGGGCTCTTCATTTTGGTACATGGATCCACACAGGAGAGGTCTTCAAAAAGTTTATGGAAAACACATAATATAAAAAAACTATACATGGATTTTGAAATATTTTGCAAAAAAAATAAACAAATTTTAATTCCATTTTGCATGAACTTTCTAAGGTACCCTCATCTTTTAAATGGAACTTTTGCTCAGACTGTGTTAATATAATGTGACTGGCATTGCATTACAGGGTTTTCAGTTGCATTACTACATGTACTTTGTGTGCACGTTTTAGGCAGCTGTATGACTTGCTTCATAGTATGCGTGAATCTACCATAGGTCTGGATTATACCTCTTACTGTCTTTTTTTTTAAACATTCCTTGATATGTCCTTATGCACATGTATAACTCGTATTTGAAAAAATTCACTTTCACTCATTTTTTCTGGATTCCATTTTTTTTGGATTCCATTATTTAATTAAGATTAATATTTACCATCCATAAATAGCCATAACCATTAGGAGTCTGATTAGAGTTGTGTAGAATCATATACATATTGTATATGTATGCATCTCTTCAATATTT